TTTTTCTTTTTTTTTTTTTTTTTTGGTACCAGTGATAGAACTCGGGTCCTTGTGCTTGTGAGGCAGGTGGCGGAACCACTGAGCTAAATCCCCTCTCAAGTCTTTAAAAGGTGTGAATTAAGGGCAAGAACGTGGGGATGGGTATGAAAATAATTTTATGAAATTGTCTAAAATAAAGAATAGTTTCTTATCCTTGGTGTCATTTTTCTTTTCAATATCTTTACATTGTTGTATAGCAAATAGGTAAATAACTAAACAAGTTTGGTATTAACTTTATTTTCTGTATAATTTTAAGTACATAAAGGTTTATTTCCACAGGCCTCAGGAAATGGGTAGAAGTCACAGGACAATCTCTCTTCCCACCAAAAAAGGTTGCATATTTTGGTAAGTGTGTCCTACAGGGGAAAACTGAAAATTAGCAATGCTGAGCAAGGTTCTTAAATAAATCAAGACCTAAAACCAGCCTGCAGTGATGGGTTTAGTCCTCTGGTCAGATGCCTGGACAGACGCCTAAGTCGTTCAACATAACAGGCAAATGGAGGCAGTAAAGATGGGTGACAGGCACCTAGCAGGGAGGAGGAGGAATGCTGGATTCCTTGGAATGGCATGTTTTTTTTTTTTTTCCTATCATAAAGTCACCTTTGTTAGGTGTTGGGTAGGAATCCCAGAGAAAGAAAGGGTCCAAGACTCTCTGAACTGCCCTGGATGAAGGGCACTGCTACTGCAGCGGTGGTAGTACCAGCAATCTCAAGGTTGAGTCAAACCCAGGATGGAATGCAGAATTAAGGAATGCATGTAGGAAACAAGTTTCCTTGGAATGCTAGATGGCCAAGCCTCAACCTTTGGTCCAGTATAACCCTTGCCTCACTTGTTAATAGTGAAAAATTAACTTGGTTACAACCACCTGGAATTACATAAGCTTCTACTACCTCCATGCTCCTTGTTAGAAAAAGGTGAGTATGCATTGTAATCTGTTAGCTCCTGGGACTGTTTTACACTTCCTAAAAGACTGTCTGCTGGAAGAATAACCCCCGAATGCTGAAAGCTAGAATGAACCAGTCCAGGTCTGCAGTTCCTTAGGGGCGGACTGGTGGTACGGCTTCGCTGATGTGGAGAAGAGCCACCTTCCTGCAGAAGATCAGCTGACCTGCGATCCCACCCCAAATCTCAGCCTGAGGTATATTTCAGTGAAGGCAGGTAGCTGGGCTTCTCAGAGCAGAGAAGCAGTTTAAGAGCAGAAAGGTAGAGGAAATCTAGAAAAGAACCGTCTCAATAGATTTATCCCATGGTGTGAAGGGAGAGTGCAAAGAACCCACTGGCACTTGGCTTATCCCGCAATTTCTGTCACTGTGGTGACCAACTTCTGCCCGTTCCATAGGGTCTTGAACTGCTCAGGAACTGGGAACTCATTCTATAAATAAAGAAGAGATAACAGGTTGAAATCTGGGCTAAAAAGTAAGTTGGGAGACTAAATTTCTTTCAATGCTTATTTCCTCCTGACTCTGCGAGCAAGCAGGGTAGGATGGAGATAAACTGAGTCCAACTGATCTGTGAACTTGACAGACTGCAAATGGGGACCATGCGTAGTTTCAGTATCAGCTTCACAGGGTGCTGGGACTTCATACCTTTTTGGTGCTGTCTGGTCTCTTGAGATAGGTTCCACTAGGTTACTCAGGCTAGCCTCAAACTGGCTAGGTAGCTTGTGCTGGCCTAAACTCTCAATCCTGCCTCAGCTTCCTGAGTGCTAGAATTACATGTGTGTACCACCAGCAGACCCGGCTGGGGCTCTCATTCTTTTTTTTGCTACCCTAAGCTCAACTTAGAAATCATTCTCCTTTGGTACTCTACTATGTGAGGAGACCTTGCTTCTGTGTACAGTACTTTTGCTTTTTGCATGCATTGTTAGGTTTTACCTACTCAGCTGCAAATATCCACCAAACAGCTTTATCCAATGCAAGAAATTAAGAAACTTACAAAATCGCCACCTTCTGTAGGGATGAGGACATTCATCTCAGATGATTTGGCACTGACTATCTCACAATCCAGGGAATTCTTGCTCAGGTAAACATGGCAGCCATCTGTTTTGTTAATGGAAATGGTTGGCACTTTACCCATTACCTGCAGAGAAAACCAAGAAAATTGAGTCCCAGTCGGTGGGGGAAGACAGTAAGTTGTGGGGAAAGCTTTCACTGTTTCACATGATTCAACAACATGAAAAGTTCCCAGGTACAGGACAGATAGTGAATACTGCGGGTAGGTTGGATAGGGTGCTGGAAAGAGTTCTTTGAAGGAACCAAGTCCTCCTCTGCCACATCCAAAGCAGCTCATCTTACAGACTTTGTAGAATCGGATTTCTACCAAAGTAGCATCTGCAGGTCTGCTCTGTCTCTTTCAATTCCTTAGGGACCAAAAGAAAGAGCCAAGATATCAAGTTACCTGAACTTTGACATCTCTACTATTGATTATCTCCACAATGCCCACCACGTCATCGAACACCAGACCGAGTTTCTTACAGTTATCTAGGAGAAGAAAGGAAACAGGTCAACAGTGTGACTTTAAAGGAGAGTAACATATTTAAGAATCTTTAGGAAGACGGTTCTGGCCCTCTCAGGCTTTGGGGCAGAAGCTGTCTAGGATGGCAACCAAGACTTACCTACTATAATGGAGTTAATTTTGCCCTTGATTTGCAATGTTGTGTTGACACATTTGAATACGTAAGCCACCTGTTTTAACTCTGTGTTATCGATCACCAGATTGGAAACATTCTCCTGGTTTTCCTGTTAAAGACACACCTCTGGATTCTTATCACAAAGCACAAACCAACAGCAATTACAAGTTATTCCAACATTTTTTCTTTAAGCACCCTGCACTTGTCTGAGCTGTTAAAAATTCCTTGTCCCTACTTCGTCCTCTGGCCCAGGTGTTTTTAACTCACCACTCTCCATTTCTTGCCCTCCAGTTCAAGTAGAGCTGGTTCCTTCTTTGTGGCTGGCTTGGGGGATGGGCTGGTTTGGGGTTTAGGTGCAGAGAATGGTTTGGGGCCACTGCGTACTGGACCACTCTGAGCCTTTAGGGCAGGATTCTTGTGAGTCTTCATGTCATCAGATACATGCTTCAGGGCTGTAAGAACAACAGCTACCTTGTTCCTGTCTTTCATACCAAGGATGAGGCAATCAATCATCAACTCTTATCACAAACTGATCTATAGCCAAAAATTCAAAGCAAATACTGGAACCTTTGAAATGTTCCCTTGCAAGCCATTTTGGAGAAGTACTTTTAGAATTTCTTTTCTTCCCAGGGCTAGTTTTATTTAAATAAATAAAAAGAAGAACATGTTTGTGTTGGTGTGTAGGAAGAGGGGGAAGAAAATGCATAAGGAAATGCACAAAAAAAGATCTAGAAGGATATGTACCAAATACAGTATATACTCTCAAAATATGTATGTAGTTTTTAAAGCAACAAAGAAAGAAAAATATGATAGTAAAAATTTAGCTTAAAAAAAACCTTACCCACAGGTAGCCCTCCTCCCTCAACTAACTTCAATTAGTGTTGGGATTTGAAAAACTCCAATAATTTTTCCTACTCATATTATTTTTATCTGGTCATAACTATAGGTACTTAATAAATCTGGTCTAACAAATTAATACCTAATAAAAATGTTCTCATGATCACCTACAGTTTCTAAGTATTGTTCTTGTTTATTTCTTTTAAGGGAAGATTCCATAATCTCCTTTAGCAGACTGAGCCACACCTTACTCAAGCATGGCCCAATCTATGTTAACTATAACCATACTGAATGAACTTTTTACCTTCATTATTGGTTAGGGTTGTAATTTATTTTTTTTCCTAGGATGAAGTGAGAATGGGGATGTGTCCATTTATGGAGGGGCTGGTAGTTGCTGGGGAGGACAATGAGATCCAATTTCCTCAGCTGGACTGGATCCATTGCTAGTCTTGTTGCTCAAAGTGGCTACCATTTAAATACTAGTTCTCTAGGGCCGGGGATTTAGCTCAGCGGTTCGGTGACCTGCCTTGCAAGCGCAATGGACCCGAGTTCAATCCCCAGTACCCACATAAATATATACATACATACATACATACATACACACATACATACATACTAGTTCTCCCTCTCACTTTTTTTCCTTTAAACACAATAGTTCTTCATGGAAAAAAATTGTAATACCTGCATAATTTCCCATCAAAAGGATATAAAAGAGTTCACTAGCCATTTCCTTCATTGTTGGGTATTTTGGTTACTACACCATTTTTTTAAGCTACTATAATAACACTATAAATAAACTTTGGTGGGGGACTGATGCCTGCCTGTAATCCCAACACTTTGGGAGGCTGAGACTGGAGGTGAGGGCTGTTAAGTTCCAGCCAAGCCTGGTAATTTAGTGGCTTAGGAAGGCCCTATCTCAAAAAACAAAATGAAAACAAAAAGGCTGGCACTATGCTCAGTGTGAAGGCTCCAGCTTCAATCCCCAATGTTGGAAAAAACAAACTCTGTAGATAGAGACAGTTCTGGGGAAAACTACCAGCACTGGGGCTTGGCATAAGAAGGTACTCTATTATACACGTGCCACTTAATAAGTCACCTTCCCACGGAAAAATGGGTCCCCACCAAATGTACCCATTTTCAATTTCTACCTCAGCTATCCCTTTGGCAACTTGAACTAAAGTGACACCCAAAATGAAACCTGCCACATGCAAACCAGAGTTCTAGTTACACGCTAGCTGTTGTGTCTGGTTGAGGAGGTCTAGTCCAATATGTACTGCAACAGCTGTTCATGCCAA